GCCTCGGTAACGACTTCTAGCCGTATATCTAATGTTTGCCAGGGATGAGTGAATGATAAAAAAAAACAAAATTTATCGCCCATTATTGATATCAAATCTTTGATTTACCTGATACATATCGTTAAAATTAAGTAGATTTTTTATTTTTGGGACTACTCATTACAAGTAATTTCTTCAATAAATAAATACGTAATAGTTAAGAATTACCTCTCAAATTGACTTTTCCAAGCTTAGCACAAAATTAGTATAATCAGTTATCGTTGCAATAAAGTGTCGTTAGCAAGACGTTTTTATAAATGATAAAATTTATGGCGTTACTTTACTTCCCATCCCTGCATTTTTTATACAAATATATTTGCGTAAAATGTTCCTTTTCAATTAGTTATTCAGTTAGACGATTCATAAAATAAGAACCATGGAAAGATTCTTAACTATAAAAATTCAAACTTTGGGTAGCCTTTTCATCAGTGTTTTAAACATTTCGGTAACTTTTACTTAATTTTATTCCTTTTTCCAATCTGGAATTATTACTTAACGACGCAGTCTTTATCGCGATGGAATTGATAAGACGATGACGCGTCATCGTACGAGCACCGCACGTAGTATCCGATACTGAATACTTCGTGTTGCTGGTACGCGTACGATGACGATGATGACGATGATGATGCGTCTTCCGTCTTCTGCAGCACACACTCTAAATCGGCGTATACGATGAAGGGAACGCGCTCCTTCCTATAATGGTTGCTGAATTCGAGCCACCTGTTGTCCTCGTTCGGCAGTCGAATGGCGCAGTTGTTCATCCTACCACAGTCTTCGCTGTGGATCTCCAACTGCGCGCTCGAGCTGAAATAGTGGAGGCACCTGTAAATAAAAAAAAATTTATTTTTTTCTACTGTTTTTAAAATATTTTTTTATTAATTTTTTTCTTATCACACTTACCGGTCGCAGAAATATTTCTTGTGCTCTTTTTTGGTGACTTGCGATCTCACTAGGCGAGATAAATTCTTAATCCATGCAAAGTGCCCCGCATTGTCATTCTGCACGTACAATAAGTTGACGTGCTTCTCCTTTTTGTCACCGGTGAGTCGCAGAGGAAGAACCTGTTTACCTTTGATGCCGTATACGTTGATCAACACCGTGTTCAAACATTCAAATTTCGTAATATTTTTTAGCATCATCGGAAATTCGATGCCTGTGAGATTCAACACTGTCATGTAATGCGGATACGACAATGTTCTATGTACACAGCTTTTTGCGGGATGCAGAGTGACTACCACCGACCATGCGAAGCACGCATTGTTCATAGATTTCACGTTGATCACCGCCTTCTTCAGTATAATTTCCCGCTGCACTTCGATATGACACCCTGCGTGCATGGGATTCAGTTTGTTCACGTTGACAGTCAAATTGAGAATTCGCGACAGCGCCCACCCGCTGTCGCGTTCCTGGAACTCTTCGAGCGACGTCAACGTGGACTCGATAACGTGTCGCTCATACCACTCATGCACATTTGATGCTGGATACAGTTCAAAGTTTTTAGTGTTTATGCTCTTAATAGCATGTTTATCATTTGTCGCCGTTGAACGCGGTGTTCACTTTCACACTTCCATGTCTTTCTATAGCATCTCGCACACGCTTGAACACAATTTCTCTCGCGTTTTCGAGAAATTGGTGAGGCTCTATGTGCCTAGAGTGCTTATAGTTTATCACCGCACCGGTCAGAATACGATTTTCGAATGCTGTGTCAATCTCGCGCCATCGAAGTCCATATCCGGCACCCACATGCATGAATCGTCCACGCATTGAATCCTTTAAACTCTCGAGCCTCGCGATAGATGCGATCGCTGATTGTCTCTTTCCGATTAATAATCGCGGACGCTTAGCACGACTCTGCTCTTCCAGAGATTCTATGAAATCGTCGCATCGCTGTTCCCATACAATGTACTCTTCTCTTGTACCAAGCAGGGCAGCTTACTCTATCAAATCACGCTCCATGTTATCACTTGTGCTATCGGATGAATAATGACTAATGACGTGGTGCACCTCAATCGTGCATTTTTTATACCATTTACTTGATCACGTGATATTTGTATCAAATTACATTGATGATTCTCGTTTTCACGCATGCGCGGCGTCACGATGATGATAACAGTTGCGTATATCAGTGTTGTTAGATGGAACCACGTTTTCACGCCACCGCTCGAATATGTTATAACTTGTCATACCATGTTGAATGTCCATGAAAAAATCTGATCACGTGACATATCATATCAAATCGCATTGATGATGTCACCGCGAAACATGTCGTGACGTGTTGTGACTTGTCGCGGCATGTCCTTGAAAAAATCTGATTACGCTAAATCTAATAAAGTCGTCGGCGCTTGTGAAATTATTATACAAACGTCGCATTTTTGTTGTATTAAATTACAATGATGTCATCGTGATCAAATAACAAATATGATGTGGTAAACACCTATCGTAAGATTTATGATAAAAAAATTCAAATATTGGATGTGAATATTAATTACGCTATGGATAATAATATATATAGTATATGAAAAATAAACGAATATTTAAACTGTGTGTCTCAGCGTTTGAAATTATTCATTCCTTCCGTCTTCGCGATATCTATTCATTCTTTTCCTTCCTACTTTCTTCGTGGTATCATATTACATGTGCCGGCACCATCATCGCGATCGATGGTATTATCATCGCGTCTGATATATCACTGCGCTTGCTTTAAAAGCATTATCAGAATATAATCGCATAAGTACAATAGAAAAAAAATATATGTATATATTTTGCGTATAAGAATAAGTAAAAAGAGTCACATAAGAAGCTGCAATGAGAGAAAAAAAATCATATGTATAGGATGCACATGAGTCGCATCGGGTGGCATAACGTATCGAGAGAAAGATGGTAAATATATTGCAAGTATATGAAATAGAGCACCCGGCTGCGGCCTACGACGCATTTTCGGGAAGGTAGTTGCTGTAGCGGTGACGGTGACGCTGCTCAATATCTTAAACCGATGCGTATAAAGGTGACATTTGATAGCCGGATCTCTATGCACAATATTATCGGTCTTCTTGCGATGGCACTTTTAACTTACTTTGTTTTTATATACAGGGTGGTCCGTTTTAATCTATCGATGCGAATATCTCGGAAAGTACGCATCTGATTGAAAAGTTGTAAAGGGAAAATTTGTTTGTTTAGATGGGGGTCACCTAATGGTGCCAAGGACCTTGACCTTGAACTCGATTTTCAAGGTTATTTGAAGGTCATGATCATTTTTTTAAATGGAATTATATGAATTTTTTTACATAATATGATTCCTCTAATTATTCTGCATATAAAAGTATTAAGGTAGCGATATCAAAAAACCAATAGTTTACGAGATATTTTATATTTCATTGTGGCACATATTGACATAAAATATTAAATAATTCGTAAACTATTAATTTTTTGATAACCATACCTTAATACTTTTATGAACAGAATAATGAGATGAATCAATTAGTGGAAAGAAAACACATAGTTACTTTAAAAAAATATGTATGCAAAATGGATAATTTTGTTAAATTTCTGCTAATTTTATAACATGTATGTATGACTTATATCGCTTTGAACTTGAAAAACCATTCCGGGACAATAAATTTTCCTTAAATGCGCACAATTAACTCACTTTCCCTTATAGTATGTTAGCGCGCTAACATCGTTGTAAATACATAATACGGGCCTATATGTTCATGGAATTGTATGTCTTCCAAGATTAATTTTGCAAAGTTAAATTAAATTTTTTCTCTGCAATTATCATCTCTATTCCTAGAGAATTTGATAATCAAACTCGGATGATAACATTAAAATCACAATTTTAAATAAAAATCAAGTATTAAAAGGTTTTAACCATTAATCGAACACCTTAGATAATGCTAATGCCAGCGATACTGTAACTTTCAAGCCTTATAACTTGTACTTAATGAAGAAATATTTTATTATAGTGTTCTGAAAAGCTGTCAAGATAAGTTACAAGAATATGCAATAAAAATGAAGGTTTTCATTTTAAAAAATCGATATGATCTCGACCTGATCTTGGTGATCACCCAAAGTCAAACTGATAAGATTAGTAAAAAGATCTTTTTAAACCGTAAAACTATTGCCTGAACATTTTTTTTATTGGACCTTATCCTGCGAAAATAAAAGGGATGTATGGGTAGTCTGGGACATCCTCTGTATAACGTATGAAGCTAAATTTCGATAGACGCTAATTTATTTTGTATTGTATATTGCATTGATCATTGGAGTATTACTTAATTTTATTATAATGCTATTATTATCTAAAATTTATTTATTTAAATCGTAATTAGAATTAGTTGAATTTTTGAATTTATATCTTTTATTATATTATATTTTTAATTTAATTTAACGTAATATTGTGAAATAGCTATATCTCGTCAAGTAGGTACCAACTTCACAAGTGTTACGTACTGCAAGAGGATACTCCAGCAGATTCATAATGGCTATTACACGGTTATAGTATGCTGCGTTAGAGACCAATTTAATGAAAACACTGTATAATCTTTTTATATACAAAAGAAGAAGTTATTTAATTTATTTTTTTTATTGTGAATTTTACAATATTTGTACATATTCTTAACTGGTGAAATAAAAATAATAAGAAATTCCACGCATTCTATTTCATTTTCTTTGTAATATTCAAAGAATTTTTTAAATCCTAATATTCCAAAAAATTATGAGAATTGATTATAAAGTTTGAAAAATTTTGTCGCGCGTTGGTTGACAGTATATATTTCAACAAACACTATAATTCCAAAATTAATGGAAATAATTAACAATCATATAACGTCCCCTACAGCACAAAAGTTGCAGCAACTAACATAAGTCTGGAAAACCAATTCGGCGCGCAGTTTGAAGGACTACAAATATATTATTATATGCAAGTACATATATATAGTATATACATATATAATTCACATAGAATTATTTAAAAGAGTTAAAGATCTAGCTTCGATCGTTATAGGCCTTTAAATTTCTATTATTAATTGTGTTTCTCTCATAGTACGGTCTAAAAATGTTTAAATTAGTAACATAATCAGTTATCAAATATGTAAAAACATACAAAAACTACGGCGAGAAAGATATGCCTTCTATAGACACACTATGTGCCTGTAGGCGACTAAGGGTTAATCTCATTATTGTTATTATATGATTGACAAGTATACAATTTTATTTTTATTATAACGGAATTAAAGTGTTGATTACATAGATCTTTTAGTTTGTTCTTCTTCTTGTAGTAGGGATATTTCGATGTAACGAATACACAGTAGTCCCCGATTGTAGAATAGCTATCGTCGAATAAGTTGCTATCCACCACAATATATCTGGTAATATCGGAAGAATAACCAGACATGACACTGCAAGAGTCATAATAAATAATATTTCAGTTGGAAAATAAACGTTCAAAATGCTTACCCAAGCAGAACAACAAGTCATTATGATATCAAAATGATGTCGAAATGACTCCAAAATGATCATTAAAAGTCATTTTTCAATTATCGCCGATTCATTTTAATATCATTTTGACGTTATTGTGACGGGAGGGTCCCAGATGCGCACAAAAAACATCGAATGCAGCAGGTTGTTCTAATCGGACACAGGTTGAAATGGACACACGACGGTCCCAATCAGACACAATTTCAATCGGACACAAGTTAAAACGGACACACGACGATTCCAATCCAATAAATGATGGAAGTTGTCGTCGTATGTTTCTTTCAATCTGTGTCCGATTGGGTCCATCATGTATCCGTTTCAATCTGTGTCCAATTGAGACTACGTCCGATTGGAACAACCTTCTATGTCCGATATTTTTTGTGCGCATCTGGGACTTTCCCTATTGTGACTTGTTATTCTGCTTGGGTATAAATAAGAAATTCTAAGGAAATACTTTTTTATTTATACGTACTTAAGAAACGGAAATGTTCTAGATCTGAAAAAAGTAGAAATAAATGATGTGATGTGATTTTATGATAACGTAGTTTCTATTTTATAAATGGGTTTATGAACACTTCACCTTCTACCATTTCACCATTTGATACTTCGTCGACACTTCTTCGTAAGACATTTTACCGTCTAAGATAAAATCTAATATTCTACCAATCGGTAATGCATTTCACGCACTTCCAATATAACTTTCCCTTTTTTTTATAATTTTTCACAAATACATAATAGACAAGATTTTTATTTTTTGTACTTTTACAAAATTAAGTGATATTTTTATTTTTTTATACAAAAAAAAAGATTTTAAATGAAACGTTAATTGTTTAATACTGTATGCTAGAAGAGTGTTAGTAAAAACTAAATCGGAATTTATATCTATAACGTCACAAATATAGCGACGTGGACGCAGACCAAGAAGGTCGCGGACGAACAAATGTCCGTACGGCACGCAAAAGAAATGTAAACAAAAAATGTTTTGAAGGATAAATACTAGACGGTAAAGTGCCGTGGGCGAAGAAATATATTAGACGGTAAAATATCTTATGAGCAGTGTTGACGATGAAATGTCGAACGATGAAATGGCAGGTGAAGTGTCCATAAACCCTTATAAATTGTCCAGAAAAACTCACAAAATGATTAATTTAAATTTAAACATAAGTTGACAAAAAACTTACGATACAGGAACACCTATATATACACAATTATCTAACAGCGTAGCCAGATACTCAACAGCTATGTTATGCGAGCAGTTAAAGTAAAAAAATGGGCCTAAAAGAAAAATTTTTACTTTATATTATATAATTTCTTATTTTCTTTTTTGCTATTGCTATAGTAACATATTTCCCGAATATTTAATTAAATATGGTTAAATATAATAATTAATTACTCACATGCTGGTTGGGAAATGCCATTATTGAACCATAAATTGAGATGAGCTACAGATTTTTGTATCCCGAGAAGCGATGAGTGAAGAGCTACTACACGTTCGGCGTCTGTTTTACAAAATCTGTCCTCGCAATCTCTCAATAAGAATGAGGGACCCGCGGGATCAGTTCCGATGAGTAGTGGAATCTTACCGTAATTTGATTTCTGGAGGTTCTTCGCAGCGAAACTACTTATATGCGCGCCAAGACTGTGACCTATGAGTGTGATCTTCTTCAATGGAACATTGCACACGTTCATTACCGATTTGATGTAGCTGAAAGAAAAATCTTTTACAAATATATATAAACTAAAGATATCGTATCTTATTCGGTTTAACATTGTCATTTGATTTTTGTTATTTTCAATATAACATATACAACGTAATATAAAAAGTTAAATTTTAATAATCGCTATATTTATTTTACATTATATACTAATTATCGGTATTACTTAATTATTATCTAGTATTACAATGTTATTTGGAAAATCATTTGAACTGGAATTAAAATTATTTGAATTTGAATTTATATTTATATTTATTACATACCTATGTATATCTGTATTATTAACATTGTAAAATAGCTATACCTTGCCAAGTAGTCACCAACTTCGCGAGTGTTATGTACTGCGAAAGGATACGTTAGCAGATTAATGATGGCAGAATTGTCATTTTTATAGCATGCTGCATTAGACCAATCTAATACAAATATTGTACAGTCTTTCTACAGTAAAAAGAAGTTCTATTCTATTAAATTATTTTATTGTAAGCATTACAATATTTTTCTATTACTTATGCAATATATAAAATTTTGAAAATACAGAGAGAAATCCTACATTTTTGTTTCTATATATATTCTTATTGTATAAAAAATATTTACCTTTAACAGTAAAGAGATAAGTTCATCAAAATTAGGCCAGTACGAATGTGTAAGAAAACCATGGGTTATAAAAAAGACTGATTTTGATGGATCGAAAAAATTGCAAGATTTGTTTACTTTGATAAATTTACCCCGAGGAATGTTACTGAAAGAAATACGAACACAAGTAACGTGAGAAATTAACATTAGATACTAACGTGTGTATTTTACCTGGTGAACAAAACCATTGATATCGATGTAACGCCGAAGACACAGGAATTTGTTAAATTTTTAAAAATATTTATATTGTCGAAAATGCTTAAATCACTCGCGGTATATAAACATATATATCGTGTAAGGGAAATTAGAATTATTGTAGTAACGATCTGCATTATTTGAGAAAGAAGATATTAACGGACTACTGAAAATGATATTAATGGACAGTAAGAAGAGTTCAAAAAATACCATGATATATTAAGCAATAACTTTGATAAGCGTGTCTTTACAAAATATTGACATTACAGCATTATTGACTGTAAGTTATTTGTTGAGTATTGTCCTGAGTGCGATTGCTCATGACCTAATAAACGATAACGCGATCAAGGTGAGAAACTAAATTTGTAAAACTCATAAAGCGTGATTTACACGGGGCGACTTTATTCGCTAGAAGCCGCGTCCAGTCATTAATTATCCAGCGAATTCTCTCGACTCTGCTGCTATTCGTTTGAAGCAAGCTTCTAAACTCGTCAGCGAATTCGCTGATAAAAGCTTTTTCTACACGCTTGTTTTTTATTCGCTAGCGTCTAAAATTTTGAAGTCGCAGCGTCGAGTGGTCGCTTGATGACTTAAAAATTTGCTCTGGAAGAGCTGAGATCAAAGCGTTTATCGACGGAGATAAGAAGCGCAAGAAATTAGCCACAAGCGTCGAAAGCAGTATTCGCCGCGACTAGACGTTAACAAGAACAAATCTGCATCTAGAAGAAGTTTTTAGTAGCGAGTTCACTATAGCGTGATTTACACGGGGCGACTTTTACTCGCTAGAAGCCGCGTCTAGTGACGTCAGTAATTCGCCAGCGAATGCTCTCGACTCTGCTGCTATTCGCTTGAAGCAAGCTTCTAAATTCGTCAGCGAATTTGCTGATGAAAACTTCTTCTACACGCTTGGTTTTTATTCGCTAGCGACTAAAATTTCGAAGTCGCAGCGTCCAGTGGTCGCTCGTGATAAAGCGAATAGCAGGAAGCACGAACGGCTAGCAAGAAGCTAGCGACAAGCCAGTGACAAGCCAGCGTCAAGCTAGCGACAAGCGTCGAAAGCGGTATTCGCCGCGAGTATACGCTAACAAGAGCAAACCCGCGTCTAGAAGAAGTTTTTAGTAGCGAAATCGCTACGACGTCACTAGACGCGACTTCTAGAGAGTAAAAGTCGCCCCGTGTAAATCAAGCTTTAGAGAGAATAAGCAAATAAAAATAAAATTATGAAATAAAAATTAAATTAAGGAGGACACGACTTAATCGCACGATCGGTACAGAGAACCCTATCGCGACAATCCAATTATAATTCGACGAATGCTGATTAGAAGTTGACGCGGCAAAGACGCGAGATAATTATTGGAAAACGCGAGCAAGCGAACGTCATTGTATAATTCATGCGACGTGTTACTCTGTTCGTTCGCGGTCCGAGAATAGTAAAAAGTATAATCGAAGGTTAAGTGGAGTTGTAATTATTTTATTACGTCAATTTTAAGTAAATAAATTTTGTTCAGTTAACGTTTTATATAAAAAAAGATATGTGTGCAATGTTTTTTTTTTTTTCTAAAAATCATATCCTTCCCGAGTCTCCGATGGTCTTGTGCTGATATAATTGCGGTACAACAGTATGCAGAAAATATGTAAAATTACATTTTACAAGAATATGTAATAGTAAATAATTAATAACAAAATTATATATATATATATATACATATGGTATATCATACAGATTGTTTTTATTTTTATAATAAAAAACAATTAAAAGGTTATTTTTCGCATTATTTCTTTTCAAAAAAAGTCACATTTGAAAAAAATGAAAAAAAATTGCTTATACATATATTATATGTATAAAACAATAAAAACAATAAGTTAGAGGTAAATATAAATTATTGATGTCATATTTTGAGTTATCACTTTTAATGAATTACCTAAATTTATTACAATTTTGTAGGATATCAAAATCATTACAACTAAAAAAGGATAATTTTTTAAGGGTTATGAAATAAAAATAATAATATTTGATCATGTTTCTAAGAGTATATTTTTTATATCCAATCTCATTTGATTAGCCAATACCTTTCTGTTAAAAAATAGCTTTTTCCTTTCTCTGAAAAATTCATGTTTTTATGTATTTTTTAATTTTTGTATAAGGGAAAATTATATTTAAAGTCATTTCATAAATAAAATATTAAATTTATTATTAATCTCTGTATTGTCAATGTTCTTTTGTAATTTAATATTAAAAAATTACATTTAATTTAATAATAAATAATGTTTTTTAAAATTAACATTTAATTTAACCGATACGTTAATTTAGTCTTAATTTAACTTTTAATAAGTATTTTGTTCATGCAACTTATTCTAACGTAACTGCTCAGGAAAATATGGCTATATAATTATATTATAGCCAAGGCTCGGCACGATTTCCATTTCTCGGCCGATATTCGACTCGGCTCCGCCTTTCGCTACTCTTCTCACCTTATCACCCCACGCGCAGTCCAAATGCTGCCCAACGCTTAGGAGTGTATAACGCTTATAGACATGAGGTCCACCCACTTTAAGCGCTCACGCTGTAAACTTCATTCTATTTACTTTTTCCTTCATTACATAACTAAGATAGAATGAAGCAACGCGTAATTAAGATTGAGCGTTTACGCGTTGCTTCATTCTATCTTAGTTATGTAATGAAGGAAAAAAATAAATAAGCGTTATACACTCCTAAGCGTTGGGCAGCATTTGGACTGCGCGTGGGGTGATGAGATGAGAAGAGTAGCAGAAGGCGGAGTCGAAAATTGGCCGAGAAGTGCAAATCATGCCGAACTCTGTATATACTATAATCATATAAATATATACGAATGTATGTAAAATTATATATAATTATATGTAATTATATTTTTTTATATACAGTTATATACAATAATATATGACATCATACAAGATTATATAAATTTGTACGTAACATTAGGTCTGATTTTTATTTATGCATTAGACTACACAAGATTTTCTCGCTTTTGCCAAATATTAAACATGTACCTATCTTACTTTAATTTCAAAAGTGTATATTTAAAAGTGTATATATAAAAGTATATATATTTTAAAAGTATATATTAAATATATATATCAATAAAGTTTGAGCAGTCCTGTACTATAATCTAATATTTTAGGTAAAATGCAAATTCAAATATTAATCCCTTTAGACCTGATTTTATCGGAATCATGTTAAAAAAAATTTTTTAATACAATTTATGCGCACTTTAATAAATTTATACTAAACCTGTTCTAAACAATTAATTTTTTTCAAATTTTGATTATTTTTCTAACATATATATTATTGTGTATATCAGATCTCAAATGATGTTGATAGAATTAAATAATTGCAACGGATAATATCTTCAAATTTGATGTACAATACATTACAATGTATGCAGGGTCTGAAAAAGTTAAATAAAACGGATATAAAGACGGATTTTTTCATATAGTATACACACTTACGAAATATACGTAGATTACTATAGAATTATTCATGCAAATCATTATTGAAGATATTATAGCGTAATATTAAAATACTATAATACTAAAGAATTAAGTTAATTAGAAACTTAAATTATGATATGAAAGACTGAGTAATACTGAATATTAAAATATAACAGTAGATTGTGATATTAAAAGTATATACAATATATACAAAAAATAACTAAGATAATGTAAAAACTAAAATATCATTATACAGGGTGTTTCCAAATTAAATCGCAAAACTTCGGGAGCGTGTAGAGGAGTAAAAAACTAAGAAAAAAAGTCCTATAGACATATGCTCGTTTTTGCTCCGTTTCAGAGAAATCGAAAAAAAATGTTTACATTTCTTGCCATATCTAGCACCGACATATTTGATTACATTTTCCACTTTCTGTTATGAATTTGTCAGTCGCTCTTTGAAAGCCTTTAATAGTAGATGAATTTTGTCTTTTGCAATATGCCGCGTACGTATTCTAATAGTGAATATGCTGATATGGTTTTTGTATACGGTTTCTGCAACGGTAATGCTTTAAAGGCCTGGCTGCTACAAGAGCCGTGTTTGACAGATGCAATGCTTGTATTGCTGCAAGAGGTGCACATTTCGAACAAAATCTTCATTAAAAAGTTTATAAATAAAATAATTAAAATAATAAATTAAATATATTTTTTTCTTTTTTCGTGATTTCCTGCGAAACAAAGCAAAAAGGAGCATATGTCTATAGGACTTTTTTTCTTAGTTTTTTACTCCTCTACACGCTCCCGAAGTTTTGCCATTTAATTTGGAAACACCCTGTATA